CTGCTACTCATGTAGCAAACAATGGCAAGGGGTCACATGCTCACTCGCAGACACAATGAAAAATACATATCAGGACTTACAAGGATTACAAACCACAACAGCAAAAACAACTTTGAGAAGGTTGTTGGCGGTTAGCTTCATATGATAACGACAAGTAAATTGCTGCAAGTAGGAGTAGTAACAGAAGAAAGTGTTGGAAAATATGGTTATGAGCGCACACACATATGTGCATTAGACTGCATCACAAAAAAAAAAACAATTGCGGTTTTTCCGGCGGGACTACCAAACCTAGTATATTTTTAAGACTTCTACCAAAATTTTTCGGAAAAATATAAGGATTTACGTGAGCTGGCCCGGTTTGAAAATACCTCTAAAAATTGAGTTTTTTATGAATAAAAAATAATTTATTAAATGATTTGTTTGGAAAAAGTCCCCTCAGATAACAAAACAGCTTAAGCTTATAAAATCTACATAAAAATACTAAAAAATTGTATCAATGGAATCATAATAATAAGATTTTTGTTGCTGTTTTGTAACTTTTTTTTTGAAGATTTGTGTGAGAATAACTCCTCCAAAACTTTACCGATATAGACTATAGAGATTAACAAACAAATAAATAAAAAAATAAAAAAATAGACTTATGAGGTATCAGTGGAAAGGTATTTTCTCACCCTTTTCATTTCTTTGCAGAAAAAACTCATTCACGTCCTAATTGTTTCTTTATCAAATACCAACACAACCAAATTTTTTTTTTTTTTAAGTATTTAAAAAAACTGTTTTTATTAATAAAAAACTAAATTTTTGGAGGTATTTTCAAATCGGTCCAGCTCACTCAAAACTTAATATTTTTGCGAGATATTTTGGAGAAAGTCTTAAAATATAATAGATTTTATAATTCCAGTGAAAAAACAGTACCGATTTTTGTTCTCATTTGGGGAGTGATATGCAGTCTAATGTACATACATAGGTAGCATGAATGGAAGTAGTATATTTATTATATATGCGTGCATGAGTATTTATAAACACATTTTTGCCAAAAGCACAGAAGTCGCTCAGCAACAAGGTAATCTTATTTTGGCATCTAACTGCCGCCAAGAGGAGTGCGTAATCTACAGACAACAACAATAATCACAAGAAAAAAACATGTGCACTGCACAGTCATCATACATACTTGTAGAAGCTAATTTATTTAGTGGTAGTGGTTGAGTGTGTAGTTACAAATGCGGTAATAATTGTGGCTTTCTGGACAAGTTCATTGCATGCGACGGTTGTTTTGAGGTAGAATAAGAAATTCCAAAATGTTATTAATTTATAGAAAATATGAGGAAACAATATTCAGATCGCGTGGTCAATATGTACATCTCCTTTGTTGAGACATATGTATGTACGTATGTCAGAAGATGGTTATCAAAATTACAAATGCAAATCATAAGTACAATTCACTTTAATTGCTGAGGTACGTACTAAGACTCATATCGTTATGATTAGATATTTTCAGATGTCCACCTGTAGTCTGATCTTGAGAAACGCCCAAATAGTTAATTTCAACAAAATTTAACTATGTTTTATAAAATTACCACTGCGATCAATTAAAACTTTTTCTTGATTAAGATTACAAGGAATCGGACCGAAAATGTACGGAACACTTGGAAATATTTTAAGCTTACAATGGTCACATGGGGGACCAGAAATCCAGCTTCTGGCTGCTATGCACAATTATGTACATTAGATAAAGCAACGGAAAACATATTGATATTTCCTAGGGTATTTACCCAGTCTGTTCTGATAGGGTGGGAATTTTCGAAGTAATTCCTGTTTGTATGTAACTGTATTGGAGTTTATAGTAAACTTATACTGATAGAGAAGACATAAATGCAGGCTTAAATGATATGTATGTTTTCGCTGAATTTACTTTGGCATCAAAAAACAACAATATTGTCCATTCGTTTCACCAAATCTAATTACAAATACTACGAATGAACTATAGGAAAAAATCATAAAAGTAAATGAAAATTTTTTAAGAAATGCAGAATATTTACATGAAATTAAGCAATGGGGAGAAAACAGAAGCCACGGTACTGTATGCGTGAGAATGCCTGTAAAAATTTATGACATAAGTTTCTAATGGTTTGCTAATTACTTAGCACGACAAAACTACTTATCTCAGGAATTAACTGCAGTTGACCCGGATTAAGTCCTAGATTTAATTCCCAAACTTAACTCGAATCAAGGGAATTTTCGATGACAACACTGATCAAAACTCAGAGAGCTTAGAATACAGAGAATGTGCAAATCTAGCTTGGACATGTACCTTTTCATAGGTAATGCAGTCACCATACTAATTCAGATAGGAATCCAATTTAATCGAATAAATAAGAGCTTATTTGAATCAATACGGTGACCGACAAAAAGGTATATGTCTATGCTAGATTTGCATTTTCTTTGGGTTCTACGCTACCTGATCAAACAAAGCAGCCGCTTCTTCATACGCGGTAGTCTAGTGGTGAGATTTGCTGCAGGTCCCAGGTTCGATCCTCGGTTGGAGCGATTGACAAAAAAAAATTTTGTTTTTATTGTTAGTTAAATTTTTTTAATTTTATTTGATTTATATATTTAATTTTACTTTATTTCGTTTTCGTTTGTTTTATTTTATTTCACATGTTTTATTTGATTATTAATTAATTTAAATTTCCAGAGTTCAATTTTACTAAAAGTGTCAAAAATAACTAACCAAAAACAATTTAAAAAATATAGAAGTTGTAATTGGATAAATAAATAAAAAATTAAATGAATATTCTACTGGCCGTGGGATTCGAACCTACGACCTCGCAGCTCGTCAATCCGCATTACTGCCGTCTGTCAAGACACAATTTTGATCAGATCGATTGCGACGTTAATCCGGATCAACTTTAGCGTCTGTCCATGCTTTTACGTTAGTAGTCGCATGGGGTTAGCACTAAAGAAATTAGCGACATATGTGTACACGCCGATGTTCTAGCCGTGACTTATTTACGTACCCCGCGGGAAATTAGGAAGCTAGAAAGAGCGCGAGCATGCTCCAAGCACTCCAAGACTTTTTTTCAACTTGAAATGGCCCTGACCCCATGCGCCTAATTAAGGGTTAAATCTTCCATCAGCGAGCCAGCAACGAAGCTCACAAACGTTTTCACTTTATTCAAAAGCGAAGAGAGAGAAAGTTGTAAGACATCCAAGAAAAATTTAAGTAAACTATAACTTCTCGAACTTGAAGAAACAGATTAAAGCAATAAAATATAAGTTCATATTTTTTGCTGCAATATTAGCAAGCTGATAAAATCGATTTATCAAAAGGCAAAAGTTAAGCAAAACAACAACAATGAACTATTATCATTGACCTACGAACCGCGATGCAATTTTACCCACCTTGGAGAAGAGATACGGAAACTTCTGTATGCATACATACATACATATGTACCTGGGTCTCCATGAAAATGTAGATAAGTCGGTATATTGCTGCATTAACTACTTGTGTATGTATGTAGACATGTACCTTTCAATATTTTTCCTTTGCACTTTTGACATTTTGATCGATGGTTCTTGACTTGAACGTAAGAAGCTTTGACAACGCAAAGACGGACGACGCAAAAATACATAACAGCTCTAGAACACCAGCTGAGATAAATTTGTCAAGTTTTTTATATAGTAGACGAGCAGTAATTGCAGCAGAGCGATTAAGCGGTGTGGGTGTGCGATAGTCGTGCAAGGTAAAATGAAGATGTTGTACTCGCGCTACAATCAAGATATTCTGGTATTGCTTAAAAAATGATAGATAGACGTGAGCGTTTTTCAAAAAACCTAAAGCGCACTCTATTTATATATTTACATATCTTAGTGTACTTTTATACATGAGTGCAAATTTGAAGAACAAGAAAATAGACATATTTTTCTGCTTCGAACTCATGAAATAGATAACTATTTAAAACAGGAAATTTTTTTAAGTATAAAAGCTATTGAACTTATGACAGTCCAACAAATTTAAAAAGTTTTTCTGTAAGGGAATAACCGTGGTATATTTCTATTGCAGTACCGCGTTAAAGGTCTTCATCCACCGACTGTTTGATCGAATGTCTTCTAGAGCCTGCACGAAGTCCTCCTTTGAGCACCTAGTGTAAATCCGGCGCTGCCTAGTGTAAATCCAGGGCACCTAATTAGGCAAACAAAAATGTTGCAAATAAATAGAAACAAATTCGAAATCTTTAGCAGTAACAGGTGTTGAGGACAGCAGGTAATAAGGTCGTGTCATATGGCATGCCTTATGACCTATACCATCTTACTACTGCTACTTACTTCACTTCACTTATTATGACTATGCTGCTTTGCTGCTATTGTGGGTGCCAAATCTCACTGGATTACTACCACAATAGGTTGGCATTCTTTTATTTCTCAGGTTTTGCACTGATTTTTGCGACTTACATTTCAACTGCTGGTGCCAAAGCTACTCAGATTTTGGTAAGTAAACGCTTGTCTGGCGAAAATGACGTTTCTGTTTTCCTTTGAATTTACTAAGTTATTTGTACGAGTTTTTCGATTTTCTCGCCTCTCATTGAGGATTTATCTTTGGGTTGCTATTGTGATGGATTAAATTTTAGTTACACATTGGTGGATTAATGTGCTGCAGAGTGCCCTGTGTCATGGTCTAGCAAGGATTTGCGAAAGTATATGTGAAGCAAGCATTTATTTATTTCTCTGTGTGATACAATACTTAAATAAAGTGTTCGCCACTGCGTATGAGTAACCTTTTGTGTGTGGGTTAAGAAAAATCTCAACATTTACTCTTATTTGAAGCACTCGTGTATGCAGGTGCGTATTTATGGCTGCTTGATATACATATTTATTTGATACATCATTCATTGTATGCAAGTTAATGTAATTGGGAAAATCATCATGCCAACACTTCGCAGGCTACTTAACTACATAGATACCAGATTTCACGTTATATTTTTATCCACGCTGCCAAATAACAATATCTTTATTAGAAATACGAAATTTAATTAGAACTCAGCGAACTTCGGAAAATTTATTTTCTTTAAGATATTCAAAAGTATACACACAAATGTATTAAGTTCAAAAATCGACTGTTTTTACTTGAGACAACAATTTTGAAGTTACACAAGAACTTTTTAGCAAAAGATGTCTCAGCTGCATTTTGAGCATGTTAAGTCTTCGCTCAATGCAGCCTCTTTAATACTGTATTTGGCCTGGTATTTATGATTTTAAATAAAATTTAATTTCTACTTAAAATTTCGTGGTTATTGAAATCGTCAATGCATAGTTATTCTTACTTAATTTTCCACAAAAAAATTCTCGGTCAAAATAAACTCTTTTAATTCTCACTTTTTAACCGACTTCCAAAAAAGGAGGAGGTTATCAGTTCGTCGGAATATTTTTTTTTTTTTTTTTTTTTTTATGTATGTTACCGCATAACTTTGCACCACGTCAACCGATTTCAATAATTCTTTTTGCAACGGAAAGGTAGTGTCTCAGAGGTGGTTTAGATCCGATCATTGGATCATGAAATATTACAATATATTTTTTTAAGTCGGTTTTTTTTTGCTAAAAATTACTTGTAACAAAAAGAAATGGTCGCCGTGGTATACTTGCCGCTTCTGCCAAAATAGAAACGGATAAGATTTCAATTATTTAGCAATTTGACCCATCATTCATATTCATATTCATATTCATATTCATATTCATATTCATATTCATATTCATAGCCCTATTCATAGTCATATTCATATTCATATTCATATTCATATTCATATTCATATTCATATTCATATTCATATTCATATTTATATTATCGTGTTTTTTCATATTCGTATTGATATTAATATTCATCTCCATAACTTAATCCTCATGTTCACATTCATACTCATATTCATAAGAATTTTCATGTTCAAAGTCATATCCGTATTCATATACATTAGACCGCATCACCAAAAAAGTTGCGGTTTTTCTACCGGGATTACAAAATCTATTATATTTTAAGACGCCCACCAAAATATTTCGGAAAAATTTAAGATTAAGATTTAAGATTTACGTGAGCTGGACCGATTTG